GGCATTGGATAAAATGCTGGACTTGTTTGGAATTGGTGAAATTTAATGTTAATACTACGGAAAAGTGAATTAAAAATAAAAGAATTCTAAGAAGAAAGTGATACAGAGCACCACCTAAGGGTTAAAGATTTCCTTCTTTTGTGTTTCTATGGAAAATTACTGGTTGTAACAAGATCCCCGGAAGCTTCAAACGGAGACTTTTGACAAGGACTATAACAGAAAAACTTGACTTTTAACAAAATAAGGAATAACTTAATAGACAAAAGAAATGGAAGAAATAAGCGAAGAATTTAAGTCGGAGCTTGAAAATGTGAGAGAGATGTTTTAAGAAAGAATGAGATTGGTGGAGTTAATGCTGAGTAAAGTAATGGCGTTGCAGCTCGCGGAAAAACAAAGGAAGCCCAGAAAGGATGAATTAAGAGAGGAAAATAACAGTTTTGATGAGCATGAAGAACAAGGATCATTGTCAAAGGACATAAAAGGATGTAAAACAGAGACATCAACGTTACAGACAATAAATAAAAAAGATATTCAAGATTAAGAAGAAGAAGAAGAAGGGAATATATAAGAAGAAACTCCAAAAAAGAGAACTGAAAGGGGGGGGGGGGGGGGAGACATGGCTGACAGGCAGAGGGAAATAAAATAAAATTAGAAAGAAAAAAGAAGAAAGACTGGGGAAACTTAGAAAAGGGAAAGTAGCCAAAATTATGAGATTTAGAGATAAGGGTTAGGGATTATATAACGGGGATACCACATGGTATATTGGCATTTAGTTTTAATACTTGTTGGAAATTATTCTAGGATTATATAATTATAATTATCTATCTATCTGTCTGTCTGTCTGTCTGTCTGTCTATGAAGTTGCTGTTATGAACCCTTACATTGGAGGATTAAAACGGAAATGGAAATGTATTAAAATATATAGATAAATTTTGGATAAGTGGTAAGGAAGAAAAAATATTAATGATTAGAAGGAAAGTGAAATGTATTAAAACAAATTTTGGCAAAGTAGAAAAGGAAAAAAAAGTGATAATGATTAGAAGAAAAGTGAAGATGATATGAGATATATTATTAAGAAGCCATTTTAGCGATTTCAGGGGGGAATTTCTTAAAATATATATGTTTTAAAATATACAGTTGATCATTTAATGTTAATATGTTTAAAGTTGGGGAATGAATATATTGGTTTTTATTTTTACCCTTTTTAGATTGTTTATCATATAATTGGCTTAGGGAAAATTAAGGATAATAATGATATGTAATGTTAAATAAAATAGGTGGTAAGCTGAAAATGGAAATAATAGGGGATAAAGAACTGGGAATCTATATTTGGATGAAATGATATTGATATTGAATTAATGAATTGAAATATGAAATGGAAATTTATTTAAAGATGAGTGAAATGGATAATGATATGAGATATTATATAAGATTGGTGGAAATGAAAGTATGATTATGTACTAGTGTTATAATCTGGAACCACATTGCCCACGTAAAGAGATACTGTAAAATAGAATAGAATAGAATAGAATAGAATAGAATAGAATAGAATAGAATAGAATTCTTTATTGCCCAAGTGTGATTGGGCACACAAGAAATTTGTCTTGGTGCAAATGCAAATGAAAGAAAAAATGGGATAATGAAAAATAAAGAGGAAAAGTGGGGGGGAAAAAGGAATTCTGGAAGTTGAAGTCCACAAGTCTTAAAGCTGTCAAGTTTGAAGACCCCTGGTTTACAAGATCAATCCATAAAAAATAAAAAACCAGGAAGTAAAAAAGGAAAGAGGAAAATTATTTGTCCTTGAAAATGTCTTTTATGTTGTTCTGTCTTCTATCAATTAATATTTATAATCCACAAGGCCTGCTGTGTCTCCAGTCCTTGATAGTCCAATGTTCAAGAAAAAGGGGAAGAAGAGGGGGAAAAAATCAAGCTAAACCTAAAGTTTTCTTCTCACATCTGCAAAATAAGTATTTGTCTTTTCACTTTTTCCATCCATCAGCCAGAAATATTTATAATCCACAGAAATTCAAAAACAGTTCTTCCCTGTAGCTGTCACATATCTTGCGTTTCCCACAGTAGTTTCCAAAACAAAGCTTAGTCTTTAATCTATTTCCTAGCACCAGATGTAGCAATTCTCAAAATAAAATATCAGTCTCTTGTTAAATCTCACCAGTTAAAAGTATTTCTTCTTGAAACTTCCGGTTTGCCAGGCTTCGGCGGCGGCGGGGATTCGCGATCCTGCGCGATCCCTGTTGCACTAGCCATCTTGGTGCCTCCGATCCTGATGGATCTGGAGGATAAGGCTGCCCCGTAGGGGCAGCCGAAGATAGGGAGTATCCGGAGAGGGGTTTGGGGGTATCGCAGACCCCCTCCCCACCCGGCATAACCTCCTTTTCTCAAGGAGGTGGAGCGGCGGTCAGCAATGGCCGCCACAAAGAAGCCGGCAGCTGGATAAGATTGTGCTGGAGGAAGAAGGAGAAAGAAGAAACAGGAGAAGTGAAAGTGCTGGCTGAATCGGGAGAATAACAACTTTTAAATACCCTGGAAACTGAATTGCCTGAAAGATACATTGTATCCCTAAGAAGATTGGAAAGCGGCGGAGAAAGCTGTCAAGGGAAAGGTTTTTTTTCTTCACTCTCCCACCCCATATAAAGCCAAGGGATAAAGGATTCCTGGACATTGGATTTAACAACTTAAGAAATCGGAAAACCTGTATTGGAGGTATGGATTTCTGAACAATTAAAGGAAAATTGTTGTTGTAAGTGGGTAGGGAGAGGAAAAAAAATAAATTGGAGCAGAATTTGAAAAAGGAGGAGATTGCCTAGAACTTTAAAGAAAGATATATCTTAATTGGAACTTTTTGATTAAACAGTAACCCCAGAAAGAGAAATACAAGAAAGAAAGAAAAAGTATTAAAAGAAATAGTTTATTTGGACTCTTTGGTGACTTTGGAACTTTTTGGAATTATTCTTGATTAAAAATACTTGGGTGGTTGTTTTGGAAAAAGTTTTTCTCTTCAAGATGGCATTGCTTGTGGATGAACTAAAAATTGAATATAAAAAATATAAAAAAGAAGAACAAGATGGAAAAGATACTTTGGGCACTCTTTTTCAATTTCTAGAAATGGTGGTATGCACTTATGAAAAATTGACTACACAGCAGGATGACTGGGACAAAGAAGAAGAAGAAGCCATCTTTGATGAACAATGGGTTCCTTTTGGGGAGGAGGAGAAAGAGGAAAAGAAAAAGGGGATTTTAAGGTTTGAAAAAACAATCAAAAAAGAGAAAAATGAGATGAAAGGTGGATACAAGGTTAGAAAACAACAGAAAGGGGGTAAGCAGAAGAAGAGAAGGGAGGAGGAGAGACAAAGGGGAAAAAGGGCAAGGAGAAAAATAAGCAAGAGAGAAAGGAGGGGATGAGAAGCCTTAATGGTGGGAAGCAAGACTTAAAGAAACAAAACTTATTTAGAGACAATGGGTAAATCTAATTGAAAAAGGGATTCTGGAAGGTACATAAGATTGTGTTTTTATATGTGTATTTAGAGTAAAATGTTTAAGATATAAATGAGTATCAATATATATGATTAGCTTTTTAATGGTATTGATAGTGGTTTTATATGCTTTTATTTTGTTTTTTGTTTTTCTCATAAAATTTATTGTGTAATCCCAATATAAACTAAGTGTTATATTAAGTATTATTAAGTTAGGG